ACGTCCACCCATTCAGAACACGACCAAGTCCCCGCCCCCTCAGTTCAAACCCCACTGGCAGTTAAAAGAAAGAAACAGCAGACATTTCATATTACTCTGAGAAGCACAAAGCTAAAAGCACAAGCCTGATGATGATGAATGTGATTTCATCGAAACGTCGCTATGATACTTCTAATCTTACACGGGAGAAAACCCGAATATTAATAGAACTAAAAATCCGACTCTTGGGTATATCCATATTGTATCAAAATAACCAAGATCACCAAGAGGAAATGTAAAATACTTTAAAAGCAATTAAAAAGTTTAAAAGCAATTAAAACATTGTTAAAAAATACAGGCAACCAAGCTTTCGTCGGGCTCTCTCCCGACATCATCAGGGTTGATAAGGCGGTTTCCTGGGAGGGTTTATATGCCGCTTCCAAACACCTGCATCCGGCTGCGCGACCGCGTGACCGGGCCCCGGTACGTGCACTCCTGCGCTGCGAGTGCCTTTCTTTTACTCGCATGTAAATCCTTTACCTTCTTTTCCAGGGAAGAAGAAGAGGCCCTGGAGTATTTTAGGAAGGACCATACTATTACCGTACTCCCGGCTGACAAAGGCAGGGCGACTGTCATAATGGACAGGACATCATATGTGACCAAAGTACTGGAGTTATTGGGAGATAGAACAGCATAAGGTCATTAAAGGGGACCCCAGGGTGACAATGAATAATAGGATAAATAAAACCTTAGAACGTCTCAAGCGGACTAAGAAAATGGAGAATACCGTTAGGAGGGTACGTCCCACCGATACGGCACTTCCCAGATTCTATGGACTCCCAAAAATCCATAAAGAGGGAGTCCCACTCCGCCCCATTGTCTCCTTTCGGGGCACCCCCATTTCAGGGCTAGCGAAATGGCTTAGCGGTCGTCTCTCCCACTTGGTGGAGGACAGTCCCACTACCATAAAGTCAGCAGGTGAGTTCCTGGAAAGAATAAGAACCTTGAGGGTGGAGGAGGATGAGGTGATGGTTTCCTTCGATGTTACCTCCCTCTTCTTCACCTCCATCCCTCGAAATTTAGCCCTTAAAGTGGTGGAGGAACAACTTAAGCAGCAAGAAGGGCACCACTCCCAGGACTCCCTGCATACTGAAGACTTGATCCAGCTGGTGGAATTCTGCCTTACTACGTATTTCACATTCCAGGGGACTGTCTATGAGCAGGTGAAAGGCACACCCATGGGCTCCCCCATCTCCAGTGTCATAGCAGAGGCGGTCCTCCAGCAGCTGGAACGTGAGGCTATGACCCGATACCGACCCAGGTTTTGGGTACGAGCGCATAGAGCTGACTTTATGGGAATATTAAATTCCATCTACCCGGACATTAAGTTTACTATGGAGGAGGAGACGCGAGGCTCGCTAGCCTTCTTGGATGTGATGGTCCAACGATTATCGGATGGTTCCGTCAGTACCAAGGTCTACCGTAAACCAACTCATACAGACCGTATCCTCCATTACAATAGTAATCATCCAGTTTCCCATAAGGCCAGCTGTATCAGGACGCTATTCCAATGTATACACACGCATTGCAGCACAGCGAGGGCTAAATTTGAAGAGAGGAGGTATTTGCACCGGGTCTGCCGCTTAAATGGCTACCCCCTAAAATTTGTACGACGCCACAGCGGAGTACCGAGACCCCAGGACGACCAACGGAGGAGGGAACTTGACACGCAAACCACGCGCATCACGTTGCCGTATATTAACAATGTATCGGAAGCTACGGCCAGGTTACTGGCCCCTTACAACGTGAAAGTGGCCCATAAGCCGGACCAAACATTACGGTCAAAAATTATGCGCCCGAAGGACCCCCTCCCCACGATGGAAAGATCGGCAGTGGTCTACAGAGTTAATTGCATGGACTGTAGGAGCCACTACGTGGGTGAGACTTCAAAAAGGCTTAAGACCCGTCTCCACGAACATAACTTGGCCATCAGAAGAGGTG